ACATCTGTTTAAAGTTTGCTTTTTATATATCAGGAACCATTAATAAAATCACCAGGTGTACTTTAACCAATCATGTAGCATCATGCAAATTCTCTACCCATTCACTTTTACAAGGAGGTTCCTAATGCTCTGTCACGATTCTGATGTCATCCAATCACAATTTAGTAAATATTATGAATGAGGTAGTTTTCGTTGTTTAAGCCATAGCAACCCAAGTCGACAGGGTTAAGATAGGAAGTTGGTTTAGAATTACATGAGGAGGTAGTAACTTTCACCTTAGGAGGCTTTAGAAGTTTAAACAGTAAAACTGCTATATAAGAATGCAGAAAGTAGATAATTTACTTTAGACTGCCTGCTGGAAACCTGGCAGATTTTTTTAACTGGGCAACAGCCAGACGCTTGTCATCTTTTACTTATTTCTATCTGTACACATTCTAGGTCATATCTTAAACCAGGCTTGATAAAAAGCTTTCCTTCTGTCCTTGAAACATTTTCAATTCTAAACATAGTTTTCATGCCATTTTGACCTTTTCATGAACATCTGGAACTTAGTATTTCATAAAAGGTATATTTATATCTATCAAAATATACATGCAAGTTTGAAATCAAGACTTGAAACAGACAAAAAATGTTAAACTGTATTTATACCAGCTAGGTGATTCATAACATATGAATATAAGAAGGAGAAACTTCCAACAGTGTTTGGTATAAATAAAGTAATTGTTTGATATAGTATATAGTTGTGTCTAGTCATTTAGATGGGATGAAAAACCAAAGTTTATCCATGAACACATTTGTATGCATATAAAAGAGACCCTGACCCTGTATCGATAAAATTATGCTTTTTCACTTCACATAATTAAACATAGTAAATACTAATAGCCCATTTATAATAGTAAAAAAGATATATACAGTATGGATAGTGTATAATAATGGTGCTATTATGTTTTTTCATGATTTTTAATTCGAATGTCAGGTAAATGTCTGGGACATTTGACTAAAACAGTGATTCTCAACCAGTGTGCCGCGTCACACAGGTGTGCCATGAGTTCTGCCTAAGTGTGCTGCGAAATTTTGATCGGCACAATAAGAAAATGCGAAATATCACATGATCCCAATTGAGTATTAAGTGGTGTCTACTGTAAGTTTGTAGAATGTTTTTCTTTATTTAGGTTTGAGTTATCCTTTAAAATATAGTCTGTGTCTACAGCTGTATGCCGTCTATGACTTGCCATATTTTTTTGCAAAATTCAAATATTTTTCATATAGGGGAAAGTAGTACAAAATTGACCACTTAAGGTTTTGGCAAGGTTCACCTCTTACTAATGAGACGAATATTTAATGTTTTGATGGATACGGGTGCCGCATTAGTTGATAAACATCAAGGATTAGTGTACAAGAACGAAACTTCCATATTAATCTGAATAGATCAACAAATACAATGTATAGATAGTTTGGTAGTCCATTTTGTACATACAGTTGTTGGGGTAAAATCGTTCAGCATGGAAATAAATGAGAATCTCTCGTTTCAAAAGTCATAGAAGTTACATAATTGTGATCAAATGACAAGCTCTTTGGTGTTATCCATGCTTGTTCACTAAAAAGTGGAAAAAACTACAGATACCGGTACTAAAAACTAAGATCTAGTTGGTGAAAATAAAAGAACAAAACAAGTGTTTTAATTTATTTTAAGACCATTAATTTATTAATGATGAAATCATTCACGAACTGACAAACAGAAGTCACATGTCTGAATCATTTGAACTAGAAACTTGGATTCATTTGAACTGGAAATTCCATACGGGGCAAAATGACACAGGGGGCCATTTAGTACAAATGAAAGGCTCCATTTAGCTCCACTTCAGACAAAAATAAAAATGGCCCTGCTCTAGCCTAGCCGAAATGAAATGAAATGAAGTTAAACGTCCTACTGTTCTGCTCCTATTCTGGGCCGAACGAATGGTACTAAATTGCTCAGGCACAATAAAAGAGTCTATTTACAAAGCTTTATCATATGAAAAAACGGTTCCTGGATGAAATTTTTACACAAAGGCACGCTATCTACAATTCACCGTCAGATAGACCAGGAACCGGCAAAACTTCCATATGACAGGTGCTTCCTTGCACTGTTGATATACCCAGTTCGCCATGATGTTAACGTTAAAGGGTGTTATGTTCTCGACTACTTAGGCTTTATTTTCCAGCTACCTTATCTTAGGAAAGAATAGGGTTGAGGGGTCCATTTGACCCGAGGGGTCCATTTTGTCACACTTTAGCAAGGTGTGCTCCTAATGTTTCAAGTGTTCCAAATTGTGCCGTTGGCAAAAAAGGTTGAGAACCACTGGACTAAAACAATAAAAAAAACCTGGATCAAACCCAATTATTCTTGATCTATTTAAGGATTAAATCGCAGTGAAGTGGGTCTACAGTTTAACTATGCCATTTTTGCATCTTATAATAAAGGATTTACGTAAAACTTTTATTGGTTTGACTATGCCATTTTTGCATCTTTCAATAAAAGATTTATGTAAAACTTTTATTGGTAGGGTGTGTGATAAAATAATATCAAGCCACACCCTTTATGTGTGGATACTCTTCTGACACAGTATCATGTATTACAATACCATGTATTATACTTTAATTGAACTGCAGGAAGAGCAAGGTTGAGAGTCGTGGACTCACAATTTTTACCCAAGCATCCCTTACTACCTTGTGCCAATTTCTCCCCTGAACACCATCGATATTTATAACATAATACAATATTTAATAAACTTGTTCCAATAAGACAAGTAAGTGTCCTTTTTCTGGTGAATTTTAAATGGATAAGATGGATATAGTCCCCACTACTTGCCTATATCCACAGTGAGGACATTTCTACATACATGTATTCTGATCTGCCAGGATTAGGTGTTGGCTATACTGAAAGTCCAGGACATAATATAGATAACAGAAAAAGAGAGAGAAATGGGGTTTAATGTCCATTCGACACAAACTAGGTCGTTAAATTTTATTTCATTTATTTGCTTGTGCGTTGGAGTCTTTAGCATTGGGAGAAAACTGGAGGGTCCGGAGAAAACCCACGAGGTTGGATAGGTCACCCTACTCCTTGTCACGTACAAGCAGAAAATCAAAACCATGCCTCTTGATTCAATGACAGACCTTATGATGAAACATACACACGTTAACCATTCGGCCACTCAACCCCCCCCCCCCCCTATAGATTAATATATTAACTGATTGTATAATAACTTGCTGTAAAGTAAGTGTCATCCTTTTTCCTATCTTAATGTTTGAACAACTAAAAACATTGCATTTATTTCTACAAATAACATTATTATATTTATATAACTTGCTGTGTGAGTCATCCAATAAAACATAAAATGAATAGATGTCCAGAACAAATAAATGCCTTCATTATATTTAGTATGTGAATAATAGTACGTCAAATGTAAGTGATCTGAGCTTATGAGACAGGGTATCAGGTTATAGAAAGAATAAGCATACACTGCTTCATGCATGATACCTATCCCTACCAATAGTTATTGAATGTTTCCCGCCTTGTCAGTTTATTACATAGAAATATTTATCATAGTTTCTCAGTAACATCATATATCATCACATCAGGTCAATGTCATTTTATTGAATTTTAACACAGTATTTTATACTCTTGCTTGATCAAAATACTATTTAGAGTACCAAGTATTTCTGTTAATTAATCAAAATGAAACCTCCTGAATTTGCATGCCTCAAAATATTTAGCACAACCCTACGGTCATGTGACACAACAGGCAGAGTGTCACCTCCTTTACCTAAAATCCAGCAACCTTTAAACAGTTAATTAGAGCAATAATTTGGACAATGAACGTTAACATTTTATAACAGGACTAATATCGTTATATTCCCTGAATAAAAATAATTACTGACTGGTGTATAAGTGTATAAAAATGTGGTCTGCACCGTTCTTGTAAATGTTGCATCAATGTGTGATGACAAAAGCTATAAAACTACCCTACTTCTTTATATTAATGTTCATTTGGAGAGCATGAAGAAGATTTCTAATAATCTTCCAGTCAAACTATGCTTCCATGTCCCTGGTAGACAATTTCATGTTAACTAAATTGAATAGAAGCATGAATGGATGTTTTCACATTTACAAATAAAGTACAGTATTGGCAATAAAATGTATTCCCATGGCATATCTTAGCATAAAAATCCCTAAATCTTCCCACTTGTATTACCTAGAACAGTTTTAATGTAACTGTATTAAAATCACTCTTATGTACAGAAAAATACTTCAATTTTTAGATTGCCTTTTTGGATAAACCCTTTGTCCAAAGTCACAGCAACAAATAAAAGTAACTGTAAAATTTAAGCATTTAAACTGACGTTTTCGTTTTAGTATTTTCAATACTAACACTACAGTATTATTATGTCAATACCTTTACATCAGACAGATGAGATGAATTTGTGTGATACAAACAATATAAGTTCTATTGTACATGCGTCTTAATGCTATAACAAATTAATCTGTCTTGTATGGGGTATACATTTCATAATTTATTTGTTATCAAGAATACTTGGAGCTTTAATCAAGATGACATTTATAAGTAATTACAGTACAACAGCTAACTAGATTCCTCTTCTTTACTTGCTGATAATCAGAGAATTGTCAGGCGACTTTCACTTCTTCATTGGGTCATCCTTGAGTGAAAATCAATAGCTTGGAAATGCTGTCTGGTCTTTGTCAGTCAAACCATCAGGCTTATATACGACCATCAATGGGGTTTTATTGGGCAAAAATTGGACTTAAGATCGCAGATTTGGATGTAAAACGGATTTTACATTAGGGAACACTAGCTAATGTGATATTCATTCGCGATATTCGCGTGAAAAATGGATGATTTACAAATGTAATTTACTGTATACAAAATGCATATTGGTTTATTACATATCCTGTACAATAAACTATTGTGTGGATTTCTATATTTATATAAACTTACCTATGACAAACACCTCTCTCATGAAGATAATGTACAGCAGAGATAATTTGTCGTGTAAATGGTCTAGCCTTATCTTCTGAAAGTCGATGTTCCTTGTGTGATTTGAGAAAGGTTAGAATATCTCTCCCAACTGCATATTCTGTCACCAAGCAATATAAAGTTGTAGCCTGAAAATATAAGATTACCAAAATAAAAAATATAGCTACTGATGATAATAACTATCAATGTGTAGTCACAACTGACTACAGTAATTAGTTACCATCTCCATCAGTTCAACCCCTTCAGCTAAGACTGAACTGTAAACAGACTATTTCATAATTTGTTCATAGACAAAATGTAAGGTAACAAACAGTAATAAGACCCTTCCTCTCAATTGTGTCTCAGAAAAAAACCAAAAGGGTAGGCAGGCAACCTTATTCCTTGTCATGTACAAAGTGTTGTATTGAAATTCGAAACCATGCCGCATATAATTAACTCAATGACAGACCTTATGATCTAAAGTGCACAAGTTAGACCAACTGGCCACCCACAAGGTTAGGCTGGCAATCCTACTCCTTATCATGTACAAGTTTTTGATTGAAATTCGAAACCATGCCACTTTACTTAATGACAGATCTTATGATGTAAAGCGCACAAGTTAGACCATTAGGCCAAGATACCACCCTTTGAATAATGACAACTATACTAAAGATTTTGATTCTAAAGAAGCAGAAATCATAGCTTAGACCCTGAAGTAAAGTGAGTACAAAATTATTTTACCATCTATTTTAATCCTACATGTAATGCTTCCTGAACATGCAAGGTGAGTTAATTAAAATTAAACTTAATTCATTACAAAAGATTAAATTTGTCATGGAATCACTATAGGTCCATACTTCTGTTACTTCCATCAATGAGTTTACTACAACCATTCTATTATTACAATCTTCACTTACAAGACGAAAGGTTTAAATATATAGTCCTTTGAAAATAATTAGGTCATCTATTTGCTACTTTATATGTGAACTACCTGTAGTGTTTGTCATTACTGATACTATTGATACCTGGTGACAGATAAAAAGTCACTATAATAGTCCCAGGTAGGTAAATCAGTTAGTAGCCGAAGGCGCGCGTGTGGCCTTCAGCGCTAGACGGGCCCCTTCGGGGCCCTCCTCCAGGGCCCCTTCAGGTCCAGCACGCCCCTGATCTACACCAAGGTTGAACATTGTACCTTAATTAGAAGCATGGTTATTATGTTCCAAAAAAGTGATACCAGACAGACAGACATACTGGCAGACAAACACTGTCAAGACATTAATTAGCTCATTGAACATTCTACCTCAATTAAAAGCAGAGTTATTGTGTTCAAAAGTCTTGACCAATCAGATTGCTTATCATCACTAGTCAGTTCAAGCAGAAATTCCTCATCATCAATACCGTTAACTATACACGAAGTTTCACCACTCACACTACAGAATCAAAGTTATCGAGCTCAAAAGTCTTGACCAATCAAATTGCTTATCTCTCTGCTTTACCTAAGTAAAAAAAGATCATTATTGAACGTAGTCAAGATATTGATCACCTAGTTAGAATTAAAGTTATCATACCCCAAAGTATCAAGAAATCGAATTGCTTGTCACTCTGCTTAACCTGAGCAGAAAATGATCATTATCAAATGTAGGCAAGGTATTTATGTAATGAAATATACAACAAATTTCACCACTCTCATTCAATTAGAATCAAAGTTATCAAAGAAAATGTTCATCATTGAACTCCATCAAGGCATTCACTTAATAAATAAACTTAATAAATAACTATATATACTAAGTTGAAACATTCTACCTCAATTAGAAGAAGAGTTATTGTGTCCCAAAAGTATGACAAGACAGTCACATTTTAATAGTCCCCTGCTTTCTTTAATGAGGAAACTTTTTCTATGGGTACAGGATTTGAATGTCAAAATTTAAATACAGTGTTTCCATATAAAATTATTCCTAACATAGTATGTATGTGACGTGTTACACCTAGATAATTCTGTGTGCAGTCTTGTGTTCAAATTAAGGATTCCTATAGACTTGATCAGACTGAATTCTATAGGGGATTCTCTTTGGCGCATCTGGTAAATGTCTCACTCATTAAAGGTGTATAGATTCATGCCGAGGTCACACATATTTAAACATATGTAACAGGATGGGTCGTTCTCGATCTGCACTAGAGCGTCGGGAAGGACCTGGTCTTATGCAAATCGGAAGATTCAGGGTCGTACTCAGGATGTCAGGTGACTCTCGTGAATGAAAGTAAATGGAACACTTTCATAGATTTTTAAATGCTTTATTTCATGAAGTACAAATCCAAATGATCGAGGTGCGTGTTCAGGTCTGTTTTCCTCTTACTATTGGTGTACCAGCTGAAAAAGAAAGATTAACAAATACGCCAACTCCAAATTAAGTATAACACAATGATTGACGCTTGCCTCAGCCAGAATTAACAATATTCATGCAAAGGGAAACGAAATGCATACAAGCACCAAATCTAATAACACCCGAACATAACCTCAAATCGATTAGAAACTCATAACTCTACAATAAAATATAAACACATTGTTTTACGCTTGCTTTCGCCAGAACGAATAACATTCGTGCCAAAGGGAGCAAAGTGCGTATAAGCACCAAATCTTATAACACCTGAACGGAACCCGCAAATCAATTAGAACACTTAACCCAATTCAAAGCATGCTTCCTTCAATCGGAATAAATTATTACCCCTGTAAAGGTTCACACCCCCGACCGTTCCAATTAAGGCTGAGTCTGATTGGCCTTGTATACCCCTTTATACGCTATGCAACTGGGAAATGCACGTGCATAATCTATGAGTTACAATTTAGATTCCGCTCTCCCATTGGTTGATTTTATCACATATTGACTAATAGAAAGTTCCAAACTACAAGTCGACGGCATATTCACAAAGTAACGGCTATTTACATAATTGCCACATGTAAACAAACCCCATTACGAGTTCAGCGTAGTATGAAGCAGTATGAAGCAATATGAATAGTATGAATGGTAAGTTCTAGTTATTGTAACAATCTATAAATAAGAAACTCCCACACATACACTGTCTTAGCTTTTTGTTTTAAGTAAACAGTTTAATACTCCAAACTGTATATCAAAATTCTTTCTTACGACTTTCTCTGGCCCTTTAAACCAGCTGCCACATGCAATGCAGAGGAGGTGCTAGGATATATTAGCCACCAATTATGTGTAACCATGGACCTTATAATTATTATAAGGTCCATGGTGTAACACAGATTGTAAGTGTTTTCGGACAGATTCCAGTTACTGTTGGAGTTGTTACTGCAACCTTATGGATGACTGAACAGTGTGTAGGCCTACTGATACTATTACAGACCAATACCCAGCAGATGTGACAATAACAAGAGTAATATAAAATTCATTAAACTGCAACTGAAGTGATGAACCATAGTTTAAACATTGAAGTGAGTCGATCCATGACCACTAAGTGAAAACTGTTGAGATTCAACCCAATCTAAATAATAAACACTTCTCTTTCCAGGGCTGTAAGATTTGTGCAGTCATGTTTTTAACTAATTAACATAACGAGATGAAGAATATAAACTAAACTGAATGAAGATTTGTTTTGACTATTTTCTTATTTTTATACGACCACATTGAAATGTGGTTGTATATTGTCGTCGCCCCTGTCCATCCATCCGTCGGTCCATCTATCACCGAATAGTGATATTAATTTGAATTTCTTTTTCACATTTTATTTAAAGAATGCATAATTTATTTCTTAATTCTATATTCACATATACAGACAATATGGCTGAATTTAATATTTCCTAAAGTGATTGCCTTAAGCAAGAATCGTCTTGACTGTACGTACTGTTATAATCTTTGGGTGCCAATAGGCTTAGTAAGAGAGGGTTATAGAATTAACAATGCAGTCAGATCAGTGCCAACGCTTTTACTTTATTTACGGCTTAAAAGATTATTAACTGATTCTATTAATTATATTTCACAATGAAACTTTACCCAATGAAATTTATATATTAATTTAACTTCTTTCATTTGATTCGTTACAATATATTTTTATCCCTAATTTTATCTTTAATCTGATTCGTCAAAATGATTGTCCTTTTGTCTGTATGCAAATTAGTTTCTTTAAAAGGTCCCTACACAGACAGAGGATCACAACACACATAGACAGGAGATCAGATGAGATGAGAGATGAGAGATAGGAAATAGAGTTAAAACATTTATTAGCCCTTTGATATGATCTTGTATACTAAACAGCAAAAAAAACATCAGTACGATTTCAAAATCAGAGAGGCACTTTAATCAAATCTTTCTAGAAAACGACTTACTAAATGGATCAAAGCAATTTTTTGTAAACAGTATGTTGACACATTAGTGATTAATTCATCACAATTCCAAGACATTATGAGGTTTAAAGTCTGTACACAGTCTATACATCAGTATCTGGTGTGTCCACTGCGAGTGTCAATAACAGCAGCGCAGCGTCTGTACATGGAGTAGACCAGACGATTGATGAACGCCATTGCCCCATGGTACCACAATGTCAAAAAAGCCTGGTGCAATCCATCAACTGTGTTTCGTCTCAGTACGATGTTATTGAGTCTCCTCTGAATTTCATCCCAAAGATGTTCAATCGGGTTTAAGTCCAGTGCATAACGTTGACCCCGTTCTGCTGTAGAAAGTCCCAAGTGACTCTTGCAGTGTGGGCACAAGCGTTGTCATGTTGGAAACGTTGTTTCAATGATCGATGTAGCACAAGATTTTTGAACACCACAGGACCTACTCACTGGTTCAGGCCGATTCCACCCCAAACTATTATGCTTGGACCTTACCATGAGTCTCGTTCCATGACACATAGGTCAGAACAATGCTGGCCACGTTGACGCAATATTCTGGTCTTGCCATCTGCAGTTGATACGCAATACCGCTTCTCATCTGTGATCAGAACAGTTCTCCATTGCCTGTGTCACCAGTTCTGGTGTTGTTGGGCAAACTGTAGACGTTCATGTCGATGGTGAGGGGTGAGTATCAGTTCGTGGTAAGGTCTACGGCAATGGATGTTCTCTCTGGTGGGACGTCGGCGCACTGTATCGGTACTGATGGGTCTTCCGTGTGTTCCCACTGTGCTGTCCCTGATGCCTATGTGAAGGGATTCTGCACGTGCTATTGCACAACATGGCGGTGTTATCACCTGGTGGTAACCCTTGGTCTACCAGTTCGGGGGCGATAGTAGATAGTCCGAACATTGACCTGGAAGTGATTGGCAACGGCTTGTTGCCTGCGTCGAGTCTTCCAAGTGCCTGGTTCCACTGAGCTGTCGTGAGTTGGGGCATGCTGCCGACGATGAACAGCACGTGCAGCATGAGTTACATAAAAATCATGGAGAACACATTACCATCTCAGGTTGCGTTTTTGAGAACATTTCCTTGGTTCAATTCTGTGTTTTGGAAGGAGCCTTATTGCTCAGGTAAAGTTGGAGATGTGGTCACAAATATACAATAAAAACATTTGGCAAGTTTTATGCCTGCCAAGGACAGCTGTCTAGTCATTCGGAGGGAACGTAAAAACTGAGGTCCCGTGCAGGTCCCGTGTACACATTGGAATGCATGTTAAAGATCCCTTGACATTTGGAATTCGATATAAGAGTAGGCCGTATGCCGCTGTCCAGGCAAAATTTCCCTCATAGGACACTGTATGGTGTATACTCGTCTTCATTAGCCCAGTTCGGAGCAGAACAGTAGGATGGTAAATCCTATTTCATTTCATTTTATAGCTACATGTAAGTCGTCCAGGCAGTCAACAAGGGTTGTAGCATATTTTTTCATTTGTCAGTAATGAAAACACTCAAATCTGATTACGAGTAACAACCCATTATCAGAAATTGTTAGAATTTGTTTTGATTGTTTGTCGCGTGACCTTAAAAACTGTGTATAAATTTATATAAACTTTATCCTGTAGCGCGTCCACAAGATTTCTCAAGTGATCAAGGGCCATAACTCTGTTAGTAATTATTGAAAAGCAATAGACTTCTTCGTCTCATAACTTTAAACATTGTGTATAAATTTAAAGACATTTGGATAATAACTTTAGCCTCAAGAGTGTCTGCAAATTTTTTAAAGTGATCAAGGGCTATAACTCTGGCATGGCAGTAATTATCGAAAATCAATAGAATTCTTCGTCTCACGACTTTAAACACTGGGTATAAATTTAAAGTCAATCGGATATTAACTTTTGCCTTTAGAGTGTCCACAATATTTTTCAAAGTGATCAAATTGTTGAAAATCAATAGGTTTCTTCATCTCACGACCTTAAACACTGTGTATAAATTTACAGTCACAAGATTTATCAATGTGATCAAGTGCCATAACTTTGGCAGTAATTATCGAAATTGTTAACCAGCGACTGCCAGGCAGGATACGCCCAAATTTTGCAAAAGATGGGTAGAGAACAAGCTAAAAGCAAAAACAATTTTTTGAACAATCAGGGGCCATAATCCAGAAAGTTATGGTCTGAAATGTGCAAATATCAAAAGGGACTGAGATTTTTTGGAATATATAGATATGTTTTAAGTTTGATCAAAATCAGATAAAAATTGTGACCTCTAGAGGGTCCATAACCTTTGTATTACATACTTACACACAATTTGCGTACAAAGAACGGCCATTTTGTTTGTCAGTTTCATTTCAATTTTCCTGAAATTCCTATTCAACCTTCATTATGGTGGAAAGGTGACATATCTAAACGGTTTTTAAAATCAGAAAAAAATTGTGACCTCCAGAGAATCCACAAGCTAAAAATGTGATTTTTCGACCAATCAGGGGCCATAATCCAGGAAGTAACGTTCGGATATGTGTGATCATCAAGATCTTTATGATAAAAACATAATTTAAAGTTTCATCCAAATAGGATAAAAACTGTGGCCTCTTGAGGGCCCACAACCTTGATATACCATATTTTTACACTATTTGCGTACAAAAGGCGGCCATTATGTCCGTCAGTTTTTTCTGATTTTCACGAAATTCAAACTCAACCATCATTAGTGTATAACTGTGATATATTCACAGGTTTTTTTTTTAAATCTGATAAAAAATTATGACCTGTATAGGGACCACAAGCTTAAAACACGATTTTTCGTACAATCAAGGACCATAATTCAGGAAGTTAGGATTTGATATGCGCAAATATCATAAGGAACCAAGATCTATGGGTTATAAATATGCATTTCAAGTTTCATCAAAATCGGATCAAAATTGTGACCTCACCGGATGTTTACACTATTTGCGTATGAGGGGCGGCCATTTTGTCTGACAGTTTTGGTCCAATTTTCATGAAATTTGAACTCAACTATCATGAGGGTGTAACTGTGATATACTAAAACGTTTTTTTTAAATCGGATAAAAACTGTGACCTCTAGAGAGACCACAAGCTAAAAGCGTGATTTTTTGTACAATCAGGGGCCATAATTCTGGAAGTTACGATCCGATATGCATGAATATCGAAAGGAAACAAGATCTTTGGGATATAAAGTCAATCAAATATTCACTATAGCCTCTAAAGCGTCTTCAAGATTTATCAATGTGATGAAGGGCCATAACTCTTGGCAGTAATTTTCTGAAATCGTTGAAAATTAACAGGCTTCTTCGTCTCATAACCTTAAATACTCTGTATAAATTTAAAGTCAAAAAAGTGTACTGTCAAAGTCAATCGGATATTCACTTTAGCCTCCATAGCAATCATAAGTTTTTTTAGAGTGATCAAGGGCCATAACTCAGACTGTAATTATCAGAAATCGTTGAAAATCAATAGGCTTCTCCGTCTCATGACCTCAAATTCAAAGTCAATCGGATATTAACTTTAGCCTCTAGCAATTGTGGACGCTGGACCGATGGACGGGGGCGACAACAATTTACGACCACATTTCAATGTGGCGTATAAAATCTGATAACTTAAAAAACATTTTATAAATATTAAAATATATTTACCTTCATTGTTTCATAGAGACGAATAATATTTGGATGACGCAGCTGTCCAAGAATCAATGCTTCACGGTTAACATTTTGTTTTAAGTAATCCTCCTTTATTTTTCTCATATCAATAATTTTAATAGCAACCTGGAAAAAAAGATGTAAAGTATTAAGAAAATTGATCTGGGTAGATTTTGAGAGTAACAAAAACGTTTCTACCCTATCTAGCTGACAATAAGGTTGACATTTTGCTGCCAAAGGAGAATTTAAAAACAATCATCTGACACCAACTCACGTGAAAAATATTTCAATTAATTAACAAATCGTGACTAAAGTAAAGCAGAATTTGTTAAAACCTTAATGAAACTTGTTCATGGTTCTATCCCAAGGGTTTTCATAAAATATCAACTCTGCTTCAGTCTGTTTACAATGTTTAATTACTGTTGAAAATAATAGTAGGGTCTCATCTATATACTGTCTGGAAACAACCTTTAAACCACAGAGTTGTATAAGACTATTTTCTGCCTCGTTAAACAAAAGTAGATGTACTGGAGCCACAACCTACCACAGAGTAACAATGTTGTCAGTCAAATTATATATTAGAATTGAAGAGAATAGTGTTAAAGATATTCAAAATGTTTTAGGAGCAACCATACAGGATTAACGACTTGTATGAAAAAAAAAGAAGTCAATGTGTCATGAAATGAATCTGACCTTGAATCAGGTCACTATTGATGCATTTTGAAATTAATGGGATTGGAATCATACACCTCTACTGAGTGATCAGTCAATGGGAATTCCCAACGATCAAGTAAGTAGGAATTGTTGTCACAACAGGATATAACAATTAGGCATTCCTAGGTATAGGAACAATCACACATAACACCACATATTTACATCTCTGCTTCATACTCTTTTCTAAAAGAAGCATAATGGCAGATGTCAGATAATTACATCATTAAAGATATTACACCATTGTTATATTATCAATAGCATTAATTTATACCACCAATTTGTGGACTAAATACTCCATACTTAATGACACTATATAGTTAAAATGCATTTAGGGTGAGTGCCAACTGCATTAGGTCAACTGTATTAATTGCACCAATGTTGGTCATCCACATGTTTGTGCTAAACGTGTAATTTACATGGTATGTATTTGAATTGTATCATTTGTCATATATTGTGTAAAATAGAAGTTCAGTAATTAAAAGACTGAAGAACTATTCCAGATTTGACCCATCATTGATGACCCCAGCGGTTATGTGGTTATGCAAACAGTTTTGTATTGAAAACACTGTTTCTGCTTATTCTTTTGTTTCAACTGCCAAGTGATCTTACGGTACCCTCTCTGCTTTACATCACTTATCTTCCCATATTAATATTGAGGAGGATCATGCTGTGCTATGTATTTTATATAACAGTAGAACATTTCTACTGTATTTTTATTCATGATGACAAGTGCTAACAACATCATGTTACATTCACTTCTACTGAACTTGGGGTAGGATTATCAATTTATCAGTCACATAACCACCTTTCTTCTTAGCTGGTGGTTTAACATCTGCTTTCACATTAGTGATATTGCAGACAGCCACCTACACACACTCCCTTTAAACATCTATAACATGCAATAAATAAAATCTATGTGAGGTTAAAATTCAGTATGGCTTCCATGGTTGACCCTGCTTTGCAAATTCTGTACCAAAGTGGATATATGCACATCCTTTTGATTTCATCAGAACTGACAAACTGTATTGATTTTTGTCAATGGTGGATTAAATGGGTTGCTACCAATCTATAAACTAGACCTCAACAGCAACTTGATACATATAAATTTATAATAATTGTTTGCTTCATTGTTATCTAGAATTTTAAATAATGCAAGTTGGCTAGCCTAGCTAACGGTGATAGGGTTAATTGCTACCAGTATAATATAATAACTAAAGTTTATAGTCCAAACTATCCTTTGCTGTTGGTCTGATAGTTCTAATTAACATTGACTATCTGTCACAATTTGCTATTTGATTATTTCTACAGACAGATTCCTACATCATTATAATCATTGATTGAAGCAACTATTACTTCTATACAACTATATGAAAACCATTTTGAGCAGGTCAGTCTGATTTCTACTTCATTGGAGTCATCATCATGTAGGCTCTTCTAGAATAGATTACCGAAGCGAAGCAGTTTTATCGCCATTTTTAACAAAATAAACTGAAATTAAATATCTTAGCATCCATTTAGAACTTGTGAACTATTCCAATTTTAAGAAAATATGAAATATATTTATCAAAGACCGATTTTTGTTTTATATATTTCCATTTGTGTATCTATCTAGAGATCCAGAGAAAAGGTGAAATAGGTAACGTTAATATACAATTTCAAAAATAATTTCCCAAATAAGGTAATTTGTTATGACATCATAACTGCTTAGCAACAAAATCAAGGAAAACCATGACAACCAATTGATGAATGAACCAAACTGGCAACACATAATATTAGGATAAAAATTATGAAGGGATGTGGTAAAATAGTTATTTAGGTTAGTTAGGCACTGAGCATGTGCATCCAGTTTATTACTATCATAACCATGATAACTATCGACATTAGCCCTGTGCTCCAAATTGCATTGTATTGGATATTTATGTTGGAAATATACTTTTAAATAAAAGAATGTACTTTTATGAAAATATATACAAGATGTATTTTCAATCAATAACATAGAAATGTAAGAATTATAGGCTACTATTTGAAAGTTTACAAAATTACCTGTAATGTACCAGAAGGTGCAATGGTGGAAATTGGTTTTGTTGTTACTGTACCCGACTTGCTTTTAGGAGGTCAAAGTGTGTTCAAAGTTTAAACCAATCAAATTGCTCATCTCTGCTTAGCCTTAGTGGAAAATGTGCATGATCAAATACACCTACACCAAGTTTGAACATTCTACCTCAAATAGAAGGAGAGTTATTGTGTTCCAAAGTCTCGACCAATCAGACTGAAGCCTAAACTTTGCCTAAGCAGAAAATGCTCATTATTGAACTCAATCTTTGTTAAGGTGTTGATGTAATTAAAGTATACACAAAGTTTCACCACTATCACTCAATTAGAATTAAAGTTATCAAGCTCTAAAGTTTGACCAATCAAATTGCTTATCGCTCTGCTTACCTTTAGCAGAAAATGCACATTATCGAACTTAGTCAAGGTATTGATGTAATGAAACTATACACCAAATATCATCACTCACACTTAATTAGAACCAAAGTTATCGTGCCCTAAAGCATCAACCAATCAAAATCCTTATCTCTGCTTAGTCTAAGCACAAAATGCGCATCTTTGAACTCCATCAAGACATTCACCTAATGAATGCCTACACGAAGTTTCAATATTCTATCTCAATTAGAAGGAGAGTTATTGTGTTCCAAAGTCTTGACCAATCAAATTGCTTATCGCTCTGATTACCCTAAGCAGAAAATGCTCATTAACGATCTTAGTCAAGGTACTGATGTAATGAAACTGTACACCAAGTTTTATCACTCTCACTTAATTAGAGCTAAAGTTATCATGTCCCAAAAGCATCAACCAATCAAATTGCTTATTTCTGCTTACCCTAAGCAGAAAGTGCTCATCTTGGAACTGTAGTACTATCGGACTTCTTTTCTTGTTGCGTTTGTTTTTCTTCGTGATTGTAATAACACTATAGAATCAATGGTTTTACAACTTTATTGTTAAGCTGTAATGGCATTGAAGGTACCTCGTTCTCAATAATAATAGCTGCTTGGAATATCTGGGTGAGCTCTGATCAATCTCGCTCTACACCCTGTTTTATACCCCGTAATTTCTGCAGGTCTTAGATAGCCTTGACGTTAATTTCCATCTCAAATATGGAATAAACCGCTTTATTTCACAAGACTCGAGGAGGAAACATTACCTTATTTGGTCTACCAACCATAGGTCAATAACAGATAGAATTTGATGGATATTTTGACAATGGTTATGATTTTACCAAAATATCACTGTTTCTTATGTATAACTATATATTCACGTTCATTAAGTACATGTGATTTGACTCTATAGACAGAGTGAAGCAACAATTTTTCAAAGAAGCAATATTGTCTTAAGGACCAAAGTGCTACAGAACTCCATCAAGGTATTCACCAAATAAACACCTACATGAAGTTTGAACATTCAAGCTCAATTAGAGAAAGAGTTATTGTGTCTCAAAAAGTGTTACGGACAGACAGACTGGCGGACAGACCCATTTTCATAGTCCCCTGCTTTCTTCCAAAGGCGGTGGACAATAAGATGTGTAACTCCACAATACAAATAGATTACACTCTTTGTATAACATGAAGTATCTCTCAACTTGAGCACGATTCTGTGAAAACAGAAAGGACATGACCTTCAGTAGAAATTTAAATAGTAGAAGATTGAGATGTTAGATGGTAGGGTGATAATTATTAATCATTCACTGTCATCTGAACGGGCCATACTACACAAGAGACACTCTATTCTACCGTTATGACTTGTTCTGTGTAAACTCCACTAGTGATTTTTCAACATTAAGGATTAATGTCATAAATCAGTGCCACACAAACACTGATATGATCAAACTGTGATTAGATATTAGATTCGATGAATGCAGAGTAGTAGTACTAATTGATACAATTAATGATATTACCGTTAATCGAAAGTATAAAACAACATTTTGTCCTAAAAATAATTTGAATGGGCCTACTAGAGATGTTTAAAGGATCTCAGTGACCAATTTACTTTGAGGAGGAGAAATAATTTCTAATGTCAACCCAAATAGGTCCTTTACAACTAACATCTGGTTATAGACCTCCATTTCTTTATTACACACAAGAGACTTTATAAGTTTATGAAACAGAAGGATGTAGTTCCTTAACTCTTTAAGAATAGTTGGATTCTGATCAAAACACATGTGCTTAGTGTGACAGGGTGCTCATGTCAAGAAACGAGAGTTAATGTGTTCCAAAGTCTCGACCAATCAAATTGCTTATCGCTCTGCTTACCCTGAGCAGAAAATGCTCATTATCGAAGTTAGTCAAGGTATTGATGTAATAAAACTATACACCAAATTTCATCATTCACACCTGATTAGAACTAAAGTTATCGTG